GTTGGAGCTAAACTCTGCAGGACACCGGCCCTCCAGGACCGAGTTTGGACAGCCCTGTTCATAGCTATTAAAATACATATTCAGAGAAGCGCAAAAGTCTAAAACAGATTTAATTAAATTTTTTTTATTTTTTACTTGTTATTGTTCAAATAAAAGTTTCAGGATTATGTTGTATGGCATATAAAGACATTTAAAATTAACAGCATTTTCACTAGTGATATTTTGGACTTTTTATAAAGAAATTTTGTCTATTTTATTGCAGATATACGATACATTTCCTGTGCTGAGAAGTCTGCCTCTGCCCTTTAAAAAGGCCTTCACAAATGCCAACAAGGCCAGAGAAATGTCTGCACAACTGGTCAACGAGCACAAAAAGACAAGAGTCCCAGGAGAGCCAAGAGACTTCATTGACTGTTATTTGGATGAGCTTGATAAGGTGCATGTGCGCATCTGTGATGGTATTTTTTAGGAATGCACATTTTCACAATGTTGTTACCATATCTGTTATCCCCGATATTAGAGATTTTTTATTTATTTATTTGTATTGGTTATTTATTGGTATTTATTGGATATTTAATTGTGCACTTCCTCTATTTTTACATTTATATGACCTTTGCCGTCATCTAATGCTCACTTAAAGTTAATCTTCAAAACACTAATTAAATTAGGTTAAATTAATTAAATTATTGTTAAAATTAATCTTTAGCAAATGTAAAAATAAATATAAATTTTCCATACTGTACATTATAAATCTTTCGAAACAAATTACTTGTAGCATTTAAAATGATTATTTATTTATTTATTTTTTTTATTTTATTTTTTTGTCATTTAAAACTATAGAATTTTAATGTCCACCATTTATTGATTATCGGTCATAACATGAAAATAATTGTTTTAAACACTAATAATTAAATTAAATTAAATTAATTATTGTTAAACTGTTGAATGTAATCTTCTGCAAAATTAAAAACAAATATCTTTAAAAAAAAGATGTATTTATTAAATATTAAAAACATTTATTTATTTATAACAAAACAGTATACATTTTCTAATATTTATCGGCCATAATATAAAAATACTTACTGGTTTATCGGTAGGCCTATCGGTCAGAATTTTAATTTCAATGATTTTAACTGATTTAGAATGTGGTACTTCTTCTCTCTAATCATTGGTTATTTTAACTTCACCAGAGAGGAAACGATGGTTCCTCGTTTTCTGAGGCTCAACTTATCCTGTACGTTCTGGATTTGCACTTTGCAGGGACTGACACCACATCCAACACCCTCCTCACTGCATTTCTGTATCTCATGACCCACCCAGAGGTTCAAGGTTTGTGTTTTGGTTTATCAGAAAATTTCAATTAATTTGATCAATGCTTTTAACTTACACACAACATTTTATTTCACCAGCGAGATGTCAAACAGAGATTGATGAGGTTCTGGAGGGTAAAGATCATGCATCGTATGAAGACAGACACAATATGCCGTACACACTGGCTGTGATTCATGAGGTTCAGCGCGTCGCTAACACTGTACCGCTAAGTGTGTTTCACTGCACCACCAAAGACACCACGCTGATGGGCTACAGCATCCCGAAGGTGAGGAAACCTCCATATAAAGACACTTTTACCCTTTTAAAATTATAATATTCTCTCTTTTTCTTCTCTATAGGGGACTTTTGTTATTCCTAACCTCACTTCTGTACTAAAAGAAGAAGGCCAGTGGAAGTTTTCTCATGAATTTAACCCAGACAACTTCCTGAATGAGCAGGGCCAGTTTGAGAAGCCTGAAGCCTTTATGCCTTTTTCTGCAGGTAACGGTTCAGAATCGGATACATGTGTAGGTTTAGCTTGTTTGAGTGCATTTTGTAAATTATATATGCACATGTGTCTCGTACAGGTCCTCGTGTGTGTCTCGGTGAGGGTCTTGCGCGTATGGAGCTCTTCCTGATCATGGTGACTCTGCTGCGCCGCTTCCAGTTTGTGTGGCCCAATGATGCCGGGGATCCAGATTACACCCCAGTATACGGGGTCACCCTCACGCCCAAACCATACAGAATGCACATCAGATGCAGAGAGACAGTCAGTTTATGATGATTATGACAGATTTATGTTGCAATGATGTTTTGATGTATTTTAATAACTATGTGACTGGTTATAAAAATGCCATAAAAAGAATTGAAAAGACAGTTCTTGAATAAAGACCTGTTACAAAATAGTATTCTTCCTCTTCTTGTCTGAATGTATGGCAGTGAAATGAAAAATGAAAAAAAAAATGAAAAACTATAACTAATATAGATATAGAAAAGGCTTCAAATTTTATCACCACTTGCACTAGTGTTTAAAAGTTTGGGGAGAATTTCTAAAATGTTTTTTGCAAGAAGTCTCTTATGCTTTTATGCATTTATTAGATGAAAAATACAGTAAAAGTTGTAATATTGTGAAATATTTTTACAATTTAAAATAACAGTTAAAAATTTCACTATATTTTGAAATGTAATTTATTCCTGTAATGGCAAAGTTGAATTTTCAGTCTTCAGTGTCACATGATCCTTCAGAAATCATTCTAATATACTGATTTGCTGCCCAAGAAACATTTCTTATTATTTATGTTGATGTTTTGTGATTAATGATTTGTGGAAACCATGATACATTTTTTTTCGTGTGGACATGCATCTTCTTCGGCTTCCTCCTCATCCGAATCCAGAGGCCAAAGAATTTTCCTCCCGGACCTCCTCCTCTCCCTTTATTTGGGAATCTGCTTCATGTGAATATGGCCAATCCTTTGAAGAATTTTGAAAGAGTATGGCTTTCTTTTGATCATCTGAAGCCTAAACATTTCAATTTTTCTTGTTTGTAAAGTAATTTTACAATATTTTCAGTTTGCAGAACAATATGGGAAAATGTTCAGCCTGTATACTGGATCAAGGCCAGCCATTTTTCTAAATAGTTTTGAGGTTATTAAGGAGGCTTTGGTTACGAAGGCTCAAGACTTTTCAGGACGGCCTCAAGATTTCATGATCAATCATCTCTCAGAGAATAAAGGTAACTCATACTACAAGCTGTCCTATCAGCTAAGTAATAAAATCACAGTCTAGCGAGTGAAATATTGCTTTTATACAACAGTTCCATAAAGAAGTTGTGTTTGAGTTAGGCCTACTTATATTTAGACACAATATTGCCAATTATATTGGCTTTGTATGAATTAGCTCCACAAGAAGTCAAAGCAGTTGTGCATCAACTGTGTCGTTCCTGAATGAATTTTGAACGAATAGGTTGAGTAAAAAACTCACTGCACTGACTTGTCTCTGCTTATTGGCGTAAAGTAGAAAATATACTTCTGTTCGGGCAACAGCACATGCGCAAGTGATTTGAGCACTCAAACCCAAAAGGTGTCTGAAATCGCATATTGAATAGGTACTACGTTTGAATTTGAACTTACTTTGCGACAGTCAAAAATAGTTAGCATGAATTAAAGTCGAACGTACTAAATCCATGTTGTTACTGTCACGTGACCAGTGCTGGCTAGATTACTTACACAAATTGTAATCCATTACTGATTCCAAATTACATGACAAAAATTGTAGTTAGTAATGTAATACATTACATTACACATTTTAGGTAATATAATCTGACTACTTTTTGATTACTTACCAAACTCGTTTATCACATTAATTAAAATAGGACAATCTTGTACCATATTAATATAAAAATACAAAGAGAAAGAAAATATATTCCATTCGTTGTTATTAACAACATAAAGTGCATTAAACATAACATTATGTCAAGGTTTACGTCAAATGTGTTACTTAATCATTAACTATTATCATTACCTTAAAATCTCAGGGGGTCCTTCAAGCAAATATATTTGGTGAAAGAGGTTGCTGACAAAAAAGTTTGTGAATCCCTGCATTACATGTAAATAAGAAATAATGTGAATTTGTGCATTTTAATGTGTTTGAAAGACAAAAAGCCTTCCAAAGACATAGTTATACATGGTTAAATAATCTACTGAATGATAATTCAAATAAAAATGAATGTGTTTATCAGTATGATGCAATGTTGAAATGTTGAGAAAACCCTTTTTAAATGATTTCTGCAAATCCAGTGGTCAAATGCTGTATGGCCTCTCAATTTTCTGTGTAATTACAGCCTAGGGATTGTTCTTTGAGACTTTCTGAATGGAGGCTATATGAGTGGAAGGCTATTTTAAAAAGGAAATTTAAAGGATGAAAAAGAATTAGGAGAATCAATAAATTATGAATAATCTGTATCTACTGTGTGAGTAATGTGTAATCATGTAATCAGTAAAAAAGTAATTATAGTTGATTACAAGTATTTTAGAATGTAATATAATCTAATTACATTCTAATTACTAATAATCTAATTACTTTTCGCCTACTGTTTTTTGAATACTATGAATGCGGACATCACCTCACATAGGTTGTATCTGAAATCGCATATCTCTTGAGTAGGTAAGTTTTACTTTGCGACCGCAAAAAGAGTACGTTCTATATAGTATGAATGTTGCGTTGCATCATTGCCTTTCATAAATCCTCTCCTGTGGCCTTATAGGATGGTAAAATGTCCATCATATGCACAGTTCAGGATCATGCCATTAGTAGTAGGTCTTCCAGGCACTTTTTGCCTACTCTTTTATGAGTACTGTGAATTCGGATATGCTTCTTTTGGCACATACTGTTTTTCGCCTACTAGTAGCGAAATATGCGATTTTGGATGCAGCCCTACTGTTTTTAGCATACTATATAGTAGGGAAGTATTCAATTTCGGGTGCAGCGACTGGTCCACTAGGTATTGCGCATGGTCCTGGGGTACTCCCAACTCTGCACTTAATCAGAGTTCCCTAATCAAACACACCTGATTCAACTCATCAGCTCATTAGTAGAGACCTAACATTGTTGTTTCACATCCAAAATGTGTACTGTTTGGGGAACTCTAGGACCAGGGTTGGAAACCGCTGAGCTAGATGATGCAATAACGAAATTGAAGTTGACTGGGCCTTAACGATGTAACACACATTTAATGAGTCACTAAAAATCCCCACCTATACACAGGCAATCTGGATTGTGCAATCACAAACAAGCAGAGTAATAAAACAGTAAAAAGCCATTGCGTTTTTGGATTATCAACGTTCTTGGAATGCTGCTGCTCAACCAATCAAATTTGAGGACTATTAACTATTGTAGTATTTAACAGTATGGCTTATATCAGGAACAAGTGTTATGCTGGTGATTATAAGCTTTTGGAACATGTAACAAAACAGAATCCCCACAACTAACATCTTAACTTAACTAAAGGCGTTGTATTGGCCGATTATGGCCCCTGTTGGAAGGATCATCGACGCTTTGCTCTGATGACCCTGAGAAACTTTGGCCTGGGGAAGCAATCCATGGAAGAGAGAATTCTGGAAGAAATCTCACATTTAGTTGCTGACTTGGACAAAAATGCTGGTATTTATATGTAAAAAAAAATTTTGTTGGTTGAGATCTCAACTGACAAGGAAGTTCATAATGTTTTTAACCGATACTGTACATTTGTACAGGAGGAACTGTGAATCCTCAGAATATGTTCCACAATGCTGCATCAAACGTTATCGGCTTGGTTCTGTTTGGATCCCGTTTTGATTACAACAACAAATTCCTTCAGCAGTACATCAAGATCATTGCAGAGATTTCAAAGATCATCAATGGACCATGGAATATGGTGAGAATTAGGATCAAAACACCATATGAAACTGTTTGACAATCGCAGTTTTCTCTCTTTCTTTCCTTTTTCTTAATAGCCAGTGATTAAAGTGTGATATTCTACATGCTATAGCTAATCAGAGGAATACAGTAAGGTATTAGGGGAGGGACATTCTCATTCTAGAAAGCATCTGATTGGACAAAAATCTGTGTAGCGCAGGATGAGTCATCAATATATTTGATCTGTTTTCCTGTAAAATTGTAACCTCTATATCTGCTAAAAGTGTATTTTGATTTAGAGGTATCTCAAAGCTACTAGTCAATAGTAACCATGGGTGATTTCATAGAAAACCGTATTAAATTAAATTTAAAATAAATGATTTTTATTATATTTCGCTTTCACTGAATGTGACTATACATTCAAATTTGTGAAAAATTTGCATTTTAGAGTAACTGTATACGAAAACGTCAAACATGCAATTTTTCAACAGATATATGACACACTTCCTTTACTGAGAATCTTGCCCCTGCCATTTAAAAAAGCATTTGATCATGCAAAGAAGTTAAAAAATATGAATTTGTGTCTGATCAATGAACACAAGAGCACAAGAGTCCCAGGAGAGCCGAGAGAACTCATCGACTGCTATCTGGATGAGCTTGATAAGGTGCGTGCTTCTTCCAAAACACAGTGGGGTCCAGATGTCTAAAACCACATTGGAACTCCAAAGTTCAAAATCTGATTCAAGCCTAAAAATACGTTTCATGCAAATTGTTATGCTGATAATATAATTTATAATGAAAAAAATTGTGTTGCATTAGAAAATTAGAAGCATTTGCATTGGTTTTCGAAGACTTTTTTATTCTTGAACAGCTTCACCACAGTTTGAATCTCAAATGAATGATATCTTACATTCCCCAGAGAAAAAATGATGGTTCCACCTTTTCTGAAGACCAACTCATCATTTACATTTTGGATTTGCACTTTGCAGGGACTGATACCACATCCAACACTCTCCTCACTGCTTTTCTCTACCTCATGACCCACCCAGAGATTCAAGGTTTGTTTAAAGAGCACACATTGATTTTGGTTTAATTTAATCCAGGTTACGGTTAAATTAGAGGCAGTAGAGCAGGAGGAGACCGACTACTCATAGAAAAACAAATGCAAAAATTCATAATGTTCAATATGGCAACTGTAGAATTTGAACTACCTCCAGACCTGAAAAGAGCCGAAACTAGAACAGGCATTGCAAATACAGTTTTTAAGTGTGATTTGAACTAAAGAAGCTAAATGTATATTGTTGTTCTTATTGCTAATTTGATGTCTATTAATTTTTTAACTGAATGTTGTAAACTTTTATTTGCAAAGCTAACTCCTTTAAACTTAAACAGACAAACATGGCCTTGTTTTCTCACCAGCAAAATGTCAAAAAGAGATTGATGAGGTTCTGGAGGGTAAAGATCACGCATCATATGAAGACAGA